CGGGCGTGATGGCTCACGCCTGTAATCCAAGCACTTTGGAGACCAAGGCGGGCGGATCATCTGAGGTCGGGAGTTCAAGACCAGCCTGACCAACATGCTGAAACCCTGTCTTTAAAAAAAAGAAAAGAAAAAGAAAAAAGAAACTCAAATTCACATTTTTGCAAACCAAATTCACCACTCTCTCACTTAACCACTTGTCCATTTTTCTGCCTTTGATCATTTTAAAAGCTTGCTGGCATGTTTTAAAACAAGCAATTCTGAGAAATAAAGTTATATTAAAAATATAAGATGACTGGCCATCGCAGTGGCTCACGCCGGTAATCCCAGCCCTTTGGGAGACCAAAGTGGGTGGATCACCTGAGGAGTTGGGGGCCAGCCTGACCAATATGGTGCAACCCCATCTCTACTAAAAATACAAAATTAACCAGCGTGGTGGCACGTGCCTGTAATCCCAGCTACTGGGGAGGCTGAGGCAGGAGAGTCGCTTGAACCTGGGAGGTGGCGGTTGCAGTGAGCCAAGATCGCACCACTGCACTCCAACCTGGGCAATAAGAGTGAAACTCCGTCTCAAAAAAAAAAAAAAAAAAAAAAAATCTGTCTATTTATCTCTCTATATATAGATATATAATGACCTTTGGATTGTTAATTTATTTTATTTTTATTTTTATTTTTTTTTTTGAGACAGAGTTTCACTCTTGTTACCCAGGCTGGAGTGCAATGGCGCGATCTCGGCTCACCGCAACCTCCACCTCCTGGGTTCAGGCAATTCTCCTGCCTCAGCCTCCTGAGTAGCTGGTATTACAGGCACACGCCACCATTACCAGCTAATTTTTTTGTATTTTTAGTAGAGACGGGGTTTCACCATGTTGACCAGGATGGTCTCGATCTCTCGATCTCGTGATCCACCTGCCTCGGCCTCCCAAAGTGCTGGGATTACAGGCTTGAGCCACCGCGCCCGGTGCGGATTGTAACAGTTTTAATACTAAAAATTGTACTTGGAATTTTTCCCTTTTAACAAGTTACTCCTTATCGTCAGCAGTTTAGGGGTTTGGAATGGCAAACAGGCTGCACCCTACCAGGTTTGAGTCTTGTGGGAAAACAATCTGATCCTGGAAACAGCAAATTAGCCCACAGCTATCTATACCTGTTTACCTAGTCAATGTGTGTTTGTTCTGTTTGAAGACACTTCAAAAATAACAATTGTAAAAGAGATTACTGCTTTGATCAGAGAATCTCAATCCCCTTTGTTTGACCATGAATAATTGGTCTTTGTGATGTTAATGTTTCTTTTAAGGAATATCAGATCTGTAAATGCACCTTAATTGCAGGCAAGCAGTTTTGGAGGGAATTTGGGACAGCATTTTATGGAAGGTCTTTCCTAGTTCCCCTTCAAATCTGATTAGAGTAGAAAGATTGTTTTAGGCTCCGTAGCAAAAGGTTATAATTATTAGTACTTTCATTAACGTTCATGTAGGTCAAAAAAGTTATCTGATTGAAGAATAAAATTTAAATCTCGAAAATGCTTCATTTTCCCCTATAAAGCACAGAACAACATGCAGGACCTTAACTGAGATGTCTTTGCTAACCTGTTCACCATAATTATGCTGGCCGCTCAGAAGGCTGTTTTCCCCAGACTTTCCATTTAGAAAGAGCACCTGGGAATCCACAACTCAAACAATCGCTGATTCTCACATTTTATTTTTAAATTTGCAACCAACTAAACAATCCAATTAGAGTACACAAGTACCATATGGAGAGAGAAATTTTTTTTTTTCTGTTCTCCTATGTTCATTTTGTGGTATTAGGCTGAGTTTTTTGTTGTAAGCAGATATATGTTAATACAGAATGTTAGATGTTGCTGAAGATGTGAGGAAATGGAATTGCTAAACTGCAGATAGGGTGATTTAGTTAGATATGAGGAAGAATTTCTCAACAGCAGAGTGAAATCTTACGTGGAGGTGGTTTGCAAGTTGCATATTTTATGAAATGCTATGTGGCAAAGCCTGGGCACACAGCAAGTCCTGTTCTAAGAAAAGGAACCTTTCAATTGACTGCATTTGTTACTGTACATGGTATGAAGTCCCAGAATGGGATTTTTCTATTCACCTGGTTACAGTGCTAATAATGACCACCATTCAGCATTGTATATACCCAGTACTTACCAAGTGCTGCCTTCCAAGGATTCTTTTCAATATTCTGTTAACATTTAAACTCATCATTTAAAAAGCTATGGATAGAGCCAGCCTCCACCGGTGTATGAGGAAAAATGATATCTCTCAGGTTTAAAGCGTACTGAATTAACACATTCCAAGTCATTTCTTCTTGTTGTTGTTTTTCCTAATTATGGCAGCAATTAACTTTGCAGCATTGCATTCATTCCAAGCAGCAGGTATGGAAAACAATAATCCTGTTTACCTGAAGCTGGAGAGAGTGTACCTAGCTTTGTTCCCTCCCCAGCCTAATCTAAATGCTTTGCTTGGTGCCATCCCACACAATAGAGTGTGACTGAATCACTAGCAAACACTCTCCCTCACCTGGTTAATTCACTTGTCACTGTAAACCTCTGCAAGGTCAAGAAATAACAGATAACAGGTCGTTTCCAACTTAATAAGGCGGCACATTTTACTTACATACATTTAAAAGATAGAGCCCTCAGATATATGACTACCTGTTAAAAATCGCTCGATCTGTTAAAATTATCACGGGGAAAATAATAGAACTCCCTTGGATTGTTCTTGACTATTAATGGAATAGAAAGGTGGCGATTGTAAATGGTTTTATTTTATTCTTTGCAGTAATGGATAAATGTAAATTATTAAATGGACACATTATTTATGTTAGAAAAAAAGCTGCATCTCACACTAGGAAAATAGGTTACAGGCAATTTTGCTTTACAATGTGAACATGTCATTAGTTTTAATTTTCCACACCAAAGACTTTAGGGTAATTTGCTTTCATTAGAATGGAGTATTTTCTCCTCTACATACATTAGCATTCAGACCTCTCTTGGCTCCATGAGAGGTTTTAGTTCTTCTTTCTTAATTTGTAAAAAAAAAAAGCCTTTATTTTTCCAAGTATGTAAATATTATGGCAAAAGTTTGATTGCATATGAGAGCTGAAACAGAGGGTGAGCGCATTGCAAATGTGTCATAACCATTACGCAATGCCAAACATAACACCATGAAGGTATACCACCACCATTGGGCATGTTTCAGTGTTGTAGGGCACTAACAGTGTATTTCTCTACCGTAAAGCATAGGCTACTATAGAGGAAGAACGGTAATCAGTTACACATTAACCATAAAAGGCCATTTCTTGGAGCAAATGATATGTTGATCAGGCAGTATTTGTCAGTAGGCCCGAATCTCACTACTGAATGACCGTCCTGAAGAAAAGCCATTGTCTAGTGGGACATCGTATATGCAAATCATCCATTTGTTTAGGATGGTTTAAATATCATCAGGTCTTAATCTTCACTTCTGTAAGAGAACTCCCTGACTTTTCAGCTAATCAATCCTTGACGCTACATTTTTCTGTTAACTTTCTGTGCTGCGCGTTCAAACAATGATTAATCTCCTAATGCTAACTATGTGATAAGAAAAATATTAAAAGAAAATGAATGACGTATTCACTTGTGTTACAAAATTGTCTATAAACTAGTTTCCCAGCATGAGCTGTGGTTTATTTTCAAACTTAAATAACTTGTCTGTGTAACCTTATCTTTCGGGTACTTCCTGCAAACTTCATACATTATGCAATCAAGCCATAAATATAGGTAGAAGTTAACTTGAATGGCTGAAACGGAGTTAACCACACACATGTAGTTAGAACGTTATCATTTCTGCCATAAACCTCTCCCTTTTAAGAGATTTACCAAGCTATCATAAAAAATGTGTTATTGCTTGTATCTTTGCAAAACATGAGTTCCTATAAAGTGACTTGCCAGCCTGGGCAACAAAGAGAGACTTTGTCTCTACAAAAAATTTAAAAATTAGCCAGACATGGTGGCATGTGCCTGTCGTCCTTGCTACTCGGGAGGCTGAGGCAAGAGGATCCCTTGAGCCCAGGAGTTCCAGACTGCAGTGAGCTCTGAGTGAGCCACTGCACTCCAGCTGAGGTACCTAAGAAACACCCCACCTTAAAAAACATGTGACTTGGCTTCTTAAACATTAAACATACTGGACTTTGTTGCTACATATCACAATGGCCAGTGTGTTTGAATACTGACCACTGGATTGAGGTGGTACTGGTATTAAGCATTCCCTCTTTAGTTTTTCTAAATTTCTGAAAAATTAACATATTGTGACTCCAATGATGACATATAGCAGAGTCATACATACAAATGCATTTAACCACCTCACCAAACAAATAAGGCAAAGTGTAAAACAGGATGCTTTATAGAGGAAAAAAATGAATATACTTAATCAAATATTCATGGTGGGAGGGACAGAGATTTTCCAGAGACATAGCAACTGAAAATAATGGGGCAGGAAAATTGAAAGGATCAGATTTCCTTTCCTAAGTTGACTTTGTAAAATGCTACATGGCAAGCATCACATTGATCATTCTGCTGGTTTCTTTTCAGGCGCTGCTGCCAGTAGCTTTATATCTTGCAGTATATGTGGAGTAGATTAAGAAATTAAACTCAGTTATTGTGAGGGTCTTTTTTTTTTTTTAATTGAAATGGGGTTTCACCATGTTGGCCAAGCTGTTTTCAAGCTCCTGACCTTAAGTGATCTCCCCACCTCGGCCTCCCAAAGTGCTGGGACTGATTACTGGCATAAGCCACCGCGCCCGGCCAAGGGTCTAACATTTTTTAAACAGGTTTAAACAAGGCCTCTTTTTCTTTGTATCTTTATTTCTATTGTTTTTTAATTTATTCATTTTTTTTTTCATTTTTTGGAAGAGGAGGTGGGAATGCAGTTAGAAGTAAGAATATTCCACAACAGGGTCAGTCACTTTGTTTACAGGAGCTTCAGTTTCCCTAGTCTTGGATGTTAGAAAATACGGAATGCTTCACGAATTTGCATGTCATCCTTGGGCAGGGGCCATGCTAATCTCTGTATCCTTCCAATTTTAGTATATGTGCTGCTGAGGGGAGCACTATTATTCATTTTTAAAAATTAGGCCGGGCGCGGTGGCTCAAGCCTGTAATCCCAGCACTTTGGGAGGCCGAGGCAGGTGGATCACGAGGTCAAGAGATCGAGACCATCCTGGTCAACATGGTGAAACCCCGTCTCTACTAAAAATACAAAAAATTAGCTGGGCATGGTGGTGCGTGCCTGTAATCCCAGCTACTCAGGAGGCTGAGGCAGGAGAATTGTCTGAACCCAGGAGGCGGAGGTTGCGGTGAGCCAAGATCGTGCCATTGCACTCCAGCCTGGGTAACAAGAGCGAAACTCCGTCTCAAAAAAAAAAAAATAAATAAAGACAAGGTCTTGCTATGTTGGCCTGGCTGGTCTCAAACTCGTGGCCTTAAGCTATCCTCTTGCCTCAGCCACCAAAACTGCTGTGCAGTGGTGAGATCATAGTTTACTGCAGCCTCAACCTCCTGAGTTCGAGTTCCTCCCACCTCAGCCTCATGAGTAGCTGGGACTACATAAATTTTTCATTATTACAAACACCATCTGACTAATTAAAAAAATTTTTTTTGTAGAGAGAGGGTCTTGGTATGTTGCCCCAGGCTGGTCTAGAACTGCTGGCCTCAAGCAATCCTCCCACCTCAGCCTCCCAAAGGGCTGAGATTACTGGCATGAGTCACGGTGCCCAGTCTAAGGCTTCTCTTATTAGAAATAATTTCCCTTCAGAAATGTGAGATTATTTTAAAATACTTCTTTTTTTTCTATGTTTCTGTCATGGAAGCCTGAGGGTCATGGAGTGGAAGGTTACAGGATCGAGTAAAAAAAATGTGAATTCAAATGCTTCCCTGCCCTTCTCAGAGATCTCTTTGCCCATGAAATCTTTTATGAATAGCCTGCCTGAATAATTGTCTATCATTGGGAACAGATTGTGAAGAGAGTTTAAAGAAACAAAACAAAACAAAACAAAACAAAAACCTCTATCTTCTGGATTTGCATAGTATCTTTGGTTGGTTGGTTGTTTTTTTTCTAGGATTTTCATAGTATCTTATGCTTCACTTTTAACCTTTTTTTTTTTTTTTTTAAGAGACAGGGTCTCCTACATTGCCAGGCTGGAATGCAGGGGCTACTCACAGGCGAAATCATTGTCTGCTGCAGCCACAAGCTCCCGGGCTCCAGCAGTACTCCTGCCCCAGCCTCCTGAGTAGCTGAACTACAGGTGTGGGCCACATGCCTGGCTCTTATGCTTTACCTTTTAACATTTTTGGTCTCCTGGTGCTCATCGGCGCACTTCATATCACTCAGTAGGCCCTCAGTACATTTTGTTGAATAATGCGATTCCATTTCTTCAAAAATCGAAAGGGTCTATTAGAATAGGAGAATCCCTTGGTTCTTTTCAGACCAATACATTTTATGAATCGGCCAGGTGTGGTGACTCATGCTTGTAATCCCAGCATTTTGGGAGGCTGAGGCAGGCAGATCACCTGAGTTCAGGAGCTCAAGACCAGCTTGACCAACATGGCGAAACCCTCTCTACTAAAAATACAAAATTAGCCAAACATGATGGCGCATGCCTGTAATCCCAGCTACTGGAGAGGCTGAGGCAGGAGAATCCCTTGAACTGGGAGGTGGAGGTTTCGGTGAACCAAGATCATGCCATTGCACTCCAGCCTGGGCAACAAGAGGGAAACTCTATCTCAAAATAAACAAACAAACATTCTATGTATCCCAGCTTATCTCCCTAGTAGGAAATTTGTGAAGTGAAGCTACTTCATGCATGGAATGACCAATGCTTAAGAATAAGAATACTGATATCTGAAGGATTCTCTTGGGACTAGATAGCAAACTCCCTGTCTGCTAGATATGCCCCTCCCCATTTCTCCCTCTCTAGAGGCTAATTGTTTTGTTTTGTTTTCTTGAGACAGTCTTGCTCTGTCACCCAGGCTGGAGTGCAGTGGCACGATCACGGCTCACTGCAACCTCTGCCTCCCAGATTCAAGCAATTCTCATGTCTCAGCTTCCTGAGTAGCTGGGACTATATGCATGCTAATCTTTGTATTTTTAGTAGAGACGAGGTTTCGCCATGTTGGTCAGGCTGGTCTCAAACTCCTGACCACAAGTGATCCGCCCACCTCAGCCTCCCAAAGTGCTGGGATTACAGGAGTGAGCAATAGCACCCTGCCAGTAAATTGTTAACAACTGTGTGTTAGCCATTCTAGACAATGTATATTTCATATAAATTATTTACATAAATGGCACCATGAAATATGTGTTACCTAGTGACGTTTTTCCCTCATTTATTGTGCCTTTAGAGATCTTCTTGTGTCAGTACAGATATAGCCACTTTACATGGTGTGGATGTACTAGAGTTTACTTAATCATTTAACATTAAACACTTACCGTTGGATATTTAGATGGCTGCTGAGTTTTCATTATTACAAACAGTGCTGCAATAAACATTCTGATGCACCTGTCTTTGTACACATTTGAATAATTTTGAGGAATAAATTCTTTTTTTATTGTTATTTTTAGATGAAGTCTCACTCTGTTGCCCAAGCTGGAATGCAGTGGCATGATCTCAGCTCACTGCAACCTCAGCCTCCCGGGTTCAAGCAATTCTCCTGCCTCAGCCTCCTTGGTATCTGGGATTACAGGTGCGTGCCACCATGCCTGGCTAATTTTTGTATTTTTAGTACAGACCAGGTTTCACCATGTTGGTCAGGCTGGTCTCGAACTCCTGACCTTGTGATCCACCCCACCCCCCTCAGCCTCCCAAAGGGCCGGGATTACAGGTATGAGCCACCACGCCCAGTGAGGGATAAATTCTTAAAAGTGGAATGTCAAAGTGTATGACACATTTGTGTGTGCGTGTAAAGATGGGGTTTTGACCATGTTGCCCAGGCTGGTCTCGAACTTCTGAGCTCAAATGATTCACCCACCTCAGCCTTCCGAAGTACTAGGATTACAGGTGTGAGTCACCACACCCAGCCAAAATTTTATATTTAGTACATCCTTAAAATTGCCCTCTGTACAGATAGATATTTTACAAAGTCTACAAGAAGTTATATTTTTACTGACATTATAAGACTTTCAGTTTCCTCTGCAGCCTCCTGGAATCTTTCTCGTTTTTGTATATCAGTTGAGCAAAATGCTATTCCACTGCTGTTTTAATTTACATTTTCCTGATACTCAGAGGGTACCAGTCTTTTCATGTTTATTGACCACTTGTATGTATTTTCTGTGAATTGCCTATTTACTACTATTGCCTAGTTTTTTGTTGGATTATCTTTTTCTTTAAAAAGCTTTTTAAAGAATGTCTTTTATGATTGTGAGTATTAATCTTCTGCTGCAAATAATTTCTCCTAAGGCTGGGCATGGTAGCTCGTGCCTGTAATTCCAGCAGTTTGGGAGGCCAAGGCAGGCGGATCATGAGGTTGGGAGTTCAAGACCAGCCTGGCCAACATAGTGAAACCTTGCCTTTACTAAAAATGCAAAAATTAGCAAGGCATGGTGGTGCATGCCTGTAGTCCCAGCTACTCAGGAGGCTGAGGCAGGAGAATCGCTTGAACCTCAGAGGTGGAAGTTGCAGTGACCTGAGATCGTGTCACTGCACTCCAGCTTAAGCAGCAGAGTGAGACTGTCTCAAAAAAAAAAAAAAAATTGCTCTTAGATAGTCACTTACTATTTTGGGAACTTGAGAGTGGAGGGGTCACTTGTTCTTTTAACTTTTTTTTTTTGGTGGAAGACGGAGTCTCCCTCTATCACCCAGGCTGGAGTGAGCGGTGCGATCACAGCTCACTGTAGCCTCAACCTGCTAGGCTCAAGTGATCCTCCTGCCTCAACCTCCCAAGTAGTTAGGACTACAGACATGAGCCACTGCACCTGGCTTTTTTTTAACTTTATGATCACACTAATTCACAAGACCTTCCATTATGTTAGAAATTCTCCTGGACTTTATTACAAAAATTCTTTATACAGCATGGAGAAATCTGAGTTGATCCATTTATGGGCAAATTGTTCTCACCAATTTGTGTAATCTGCGTTGAACCCAAAGCACCATGCCAGTTCTTGCCCAAAATTCCCTCCACTTTCCTCGTATCTACTATTTTACAGTTTGCAGAGTCTTGTGCTTTCTTTAGGGTTAATGCAAGTCTCAAAGTCCACAGTGATCTCTCTCTTCCTGGTTCATTATGCATTTGGGACATGATAAATGTTTGTATTTTGCATGTGTGTATATTGTAGCTTAAACTGGATGGGATGCTATTCAACTGAAGCAGCCTTGCTTTTGTCTGGACCCTCAGTGTTTTTACTCACAGGAGTCTAGTACATAACCGTTGGTTGTTTTAAAAATATTTTGTCATAGGAAAATCTTCAGGGACTCCCTCCTCCCTCATACACACTGTGGGCAGTTTGCATCGACATCTTTCCAGGCATCTTTGGTGTGCTGTGTGCTCTGTCTTTGGTTGCCACGTGTCATTAGGCCACCCTGCTCATTATGTCTGGGGTTCCAAACCTCAGCAATAATGTTGTGAACAATATTAAGGATCCCATTTCCTCAAAACGTTCTGGTGGCATAAAAAGAAGCTAGTATTTTTCACCTTTGAAAGATACATCTTTAAAGTCCAACTTGTGCCTGGCATGTGTCTTTATTTCATGCCACCTCAGATCTGCCTTCTCAAACACAATTGCAGTGCTCGATGTCAGGATGCAACAGTGGCCCCACTAACATCATACCTCATGGTCCTTGATAGCAGTTTTTTTTTTTTTTTTTTTGGCTTTTCAAAATTAAGAGATAAAAGCAGGCAGGGTACAGTGGCTCACGTCTGTAATCCCAGCACTTTGGGAGGCCGAGTTGGGCGGATCATGAGGTCAGGAGTTCAAGACCAGCCTGGCCAACATGGCAAAACCCTGTCTCTACTAAAAATACAAAAATTAGCCAGGTGTGGTGGTGCATGCCTGTAGTCCCAGCTACTCGGGAGGCTGAGGCAAGAGAATCACTTGAACCTGGGAGGCAGAGGTTGCAGTG